TTACATCCTGCAACTTCTGCACAAGTGTAGTTACAAATGACACCTGTCAAGTGTCAAAAAAAATTAATCAACTGCATATCTAAGTATTGCAACCACGGAGCCACGGAGCATCTATGAGCAACCAACAGGCAACAGGGAACCCAATTTTATAAATATTGTAAATTTAATTATGTAAGTGAGTGAGAAAAACAATTGATTAGTATTAGGACTGATATTGAATTAAATCTCTAATTTATGGAACGTTTTCTGGTCAATGTACCGAACGTATACAGAATCCTTCGTCGAGGATTAATTAAAAAATAAATATGTCAAACTTACCACGACAAGTATATCAGCATTATTTTTCAATAATAAGAAAAGCACTTTTAATCTTTTTATTTGCGGCGGTACTTAACTATGAAGGAAACCAATTGCTTGTTCTATTGGCATTCCATATCAAAATATTAAATTAGTAATTTTCAAGAAAATCCATTTAAAATCAAACTGAACTGTCACTTCCTAAGCAACGTGAAAAATGCGCCAAACCACCTAAGGTGTTTTAGTGTTACCATTTTATTATATTTGACACAGTTCGACAGATTATGAAATATTTATATAGATTCTTAACGCATCGACTCACTCACGTGGGCCGGCGTTCGGGGTTGTCGCCAACCGTATTTGGGAAGTAAATTAAATATCTACTTTAGCCCTTAGCATCTCCATATACTCAATCTAGTAACTATATTTCCACAAACGTATCTGGCCCGGGAAGCCTCTCATATGAAGAATCTGCTAATTATTAATCAGGCTTAGAATAAATTGTTGAAATGTTTTTTTTTTAATTCATCCAGATAGTCTATGTAAAGCTCATCTTTCACCTTATTCGAGTCGTCCATAAAAGAGTTATAAGCTTAACGCAAATGTTACACTTGATCACAAGACGAGATTCAATTTCAGTTGGAAATAAAAGTTAGGAATCGGTTTGTGTATGAGTTTCATGTAATTTAAACATCTTAATGATATTATAAATATATATGTTTCGATGGATGTTGGTTAGATAGTATCATCGAAGTGGCTGCATGGATCTCGCTGCAATTTGGCATAGATGTAGAATATAGTTTGGAAGAATACATTGGCTATTTTATAATTAATAATTACTTCTTTTTAAATTCGTGAGGGCAGAATTGCTTGTTGGGATTTATCTTTATGCTTTAAAAGCATAAAGGTGTGGTGCCTTTTAGAACTTTAGGAATTGTATAGCCAAACAACTATAGCTGGAGGCCTCCTGTAGTTTGCGATGATCTCTCGAAGCGATGCTAAAAATTATGACATAAAATAAAATCACAGTGTATTCATTATTGGTAGGTCATAATTTAATGCAGTTTTTTATTATTAAAATTTGTTTCTGCTTTAACTTATTAATATGACAAATGGAATATTGTTTGATATCTAGATTAAATATCTAATCTGTGGCACTAATTTAAACAACTTTTATATTTTTATCAGCATTTTGTACAAGGACTGCTCCACTAATACTTATTATAAATTTAACACTATTAAAATAGTAAGGTACAATAAAGTGGGTATATTCAAGTTGTTCTTTAACAAAACATCAAATGCTGATTAAATAACTTAGCCATTGCCTAAACCCTCAGTTAAATAAATCATACGAATTTCTTTAAATGTATGTTTACATTTAATTAAATAATTTAGTAAATAAAGCATTCATTCACAAGCTCGCACACTCTGAAAGCACACACAACTCTACAAACATTCATTTAATAAAATTCACATGATTCATACTAATAAATTAATTTTAAGTGGTTACAAACAAAAATTTAAATGAGTTAAATTAAACAGGTATTTCTTTATTTGCATTGCCTATTACACATTTTATTGTGTTGCAAATTATATTAATTTTCTTTAGAATTAACAATTCTTTTAAAAATATATTCCAATATATTATATGAATCAACTATTTAGATCTACTGAACATATACATAGCTGCAACTTAACATATCGGCGGTGTCTTCGCCAAATACATAGGATTTAGACTTTTGGCTATGATAAAAAAATATAAATTTTGCCAAATACCTAGTTATATTTTTCATGTAATTTCTAATATATTTAGTTTACAATTTCTTTACCTAAAGCAACCATTATTCAGAAGTTCTAATATAGTTTCTTCACAATCTATGTAGCTTTATAGAAAAGCATAAGATTATTGTATTATAATAATCTTTAAATAAATATTAACAAACTTCCTAAACAGTTATAGTGGGAAAGTTCACATAATGAATCCATTCTGTGTTAATTATTGCTTGATTCATAAGGGACAGTGCGGCTTTCATTAGAGATTTGTAGCGCGCGAGCAAAGCACGGCGCAGGCCAGCCGAGTACAGTAAGGTATCGAAAATATTTCAACATAAATATGGAATGTAGCAACACTCAATTGAAATGACCATCATTTATTTTGGCATTCGGTCATTATTTATCTAATATTAAATTAGAGACAATAATTATTTACAATTAAATAGTAACTATGCTTTGTAAATTAATATTCCTTGCTTTAACTGTACTGATATGCATCATTTTACACATTGTCATAAATGAATATAAAAGTTGTTTAAACACAGATCCATAGCTGCTGGATAGAAATTAAACTTTAGGTTACTTAATGATGAAACTGTACACTGCAACATATTACCTCCTATAGACTGACCTTTTCCACAATATACAATATCATTGAAGGTTACAATCGAAAGATTCATTAAATATTATATACTTTTTAATTGTTTCTATTTGAATTAATTTTACCTAAGACAACATATTTCAATGTAGACTATGTTTATATTGTTATCTTTTTTTATTTTATCTCAGTCTTAGTTTTGCGAAACTCAAAGACAGTGCGAGGAACACGGACGCACACTACGCTACGCCATACACACCTACAACACAAATAGCGGGCAGTCGTTTCATCAAATTTCAATAGAAACAATTATTGAACCGTTTAAGTATTAAGACTAGTCGCGCTCGCCGGCCGCGCTCTCCGCACGGCCGGCACAGTTCTCTGCACGGTCCTCCGCACAGTCGGCACAGTCCTCCGCACAGTCGTCACAGTCCGCACTGTCACCACACGGGCCCGTCGCACATATCACAAGGTACGCGTTCGACTCGTCGCGGCCGAGAGTTCCAAATAAATAAATTAGCAAGTCTATAATACTCCGGGGCGCGGGTGCACTTCGGCGAGTGTGATCGTCCCGATAATGGAATGTAAGCGTGATATGGTAGGGGGGCGGTGCGGGGGCGGTGGCGGGGGCGGCGCAGCGGCGGCGTCACGCGTCGGGTGGCGGCGGTAGCGCGCGCCGCGGCACCATCACGCAGGGCGGCGGTGCGGCAGGGAAGGGCGCCGGCGGCCGCGCGCCCATGCGCACCCACCATCGCGTCGCTTTTTGCAGCAGACCGTCCTTTTTGGCGGCCGCACGCCGCGCCGGACCGGCCTCCGCCGCGCCCGCCCACTCGGGCACGTCGCTCACGCACTTGTTTGGCGGCGGCTGAAAACTGCTCCTTGTCAGCTCAGCTTGCTGAAAATTAACGCCCATGTCTGTTAGACGCATACAATATCATATTTGGTGTCTCTCTATGTATAGATGAAAAATTGTTAGATACATATTGTTTTGTTTGGCTATTGTTCTGGCTCTATTGGGATATGTAGGTTGGTTGATGTTGATAGATAAATAATAAAATACATATAAATACATATGTATTCATCTGATTTTGATTATTAATTGAAAATCTTTTATATCATTCCATCGCGAAAATCCAGTGCAATTCTATTATTTGTAGACTAAAATAAATGACAGTCTTCTAAGGATTCTTCGTATTCGAGAAATTATTCAGAGTTGTCATCCATTAGGTTAGGCTATGTGTGAGTAGTAACAAAGGTGACATAAGATTGTAGCAGAGAAGGTACTTACGGACCTGGTAAGGCACGCGCAGCTGCAGGTGCGCGTCCTGTCCGTACTCGCCGTCGGGCAGGCGTATGCTGGGCGGCAGACCGAGCCGCTCCGCCGCCGCGGCGGACCGCGCGCGCGTCTCCTGCTCCACCATCTCCTGCAGCCGCCCCACCATCGCCTGCAGCCTCTGTTGCTTCTCCCATTCCCTGGAACATTTTAATTAGCCTCTATTCATGGATATCAATATCAATCATATCAATCAACATCAATATCTGGATATCAATATTTATAAATCAAATATTGACATAATTATATTCTGTGCACTTTTCATATCAGTTTTTATACAAACACTAGTGTTTATGCAGTAAGTACATACATAAAAAGATTACTTATCTGGAAGAAGTAGCATTTACAATAATAAATAATTGATGTTTAAAGTAACAACCATTATCTTGTAGAAACATTACATTGTTTTGTCTACATATATGCTGGTATGAACCGATAGTGAGGCAAGTAAATAAGCATAGGTATATGAACTATCACATTTATTAACACTGTGTGGTCTAAATGACACTAATTTTAGGTTCATATCAAAAGATTATCATGTGTTATGTTCAAATTGTTCAAATAAACAAAACTTTACATTTTTTATTAAAATGAAAGGGGTCAAAAGTAGGTCACAATTATTCAAAATCAACCGACCATAAGGAAGCAATCCCTTGCTTTTGTCATTTTCTTTATGAATTTCTGGATAAAGAGTGTAACACAATATTTGTGGATGAGGATCTGTATGAGTGATTACATAACATAAGTTCCTAACTGTGTATGAAGATTGTAAATAGAGGTGTAGTGGATTGTGTGTACTTACAATGTGGAATGGTGATGCCTGTGGTCGTGCCGTAGGCGCGGCCCCCCCGGCGCGCCCAGCCGCTCCATACCCGCGCACCCCGGCACTTGCACCGAGAGCATCTGTAAGTCACAACACACTGCTCTCACTTATGTGGTTCTCCTTAAACTTAATACTGTATATAATTTTCAACACCGCTAAATATTCGCATTGCCACAAATTCTAAAGAGGGTAGTTGTGAAGAGGATGGAGAAAACTGAGATATTTTGATTCCATAAACATTCTTTACATAAATTGACATAGAAATACTTAGTATTTTTCTATTTTACGAATAACTGATACTTTCGTGACAGAAGAAATAGAACTTTATAATTTTTATCACCTCCTCCCTTTGTCCTACAAAGGAGCATATACGAAATGAAGCATATACAAGATGACTCAAATGGTGTATCAGAATTGCATAAAACAAAATGTATCAATATAAATGGATCTGCTTACACCTTTGACTTAAAAAAGTAAGTATACTTATGTTATAATCTAATATTTCAGTTTTGTGAACTATAATTTATTGTAAGCTTGTATGCACATTATTTCTTCATTTTATATTTGTTTGTTTACATTTTACCATTTAGCTTATCTCTTGTTACTGCAATTTACATATTATGGTAAATTTATTCTATGGTTAAGAGTTCTGTAAGAGGAATATTCCTTTAACTTGAATTAGATTTTTACTCATTCCATGTCAGTCAGAAGACGGGTAAAGGACAAGGAAATATTGGCTGAACAACAACTAACCCTTTTATAGACCATCATTGTTGGAAATCTTTTCCAACTCATGTCTCCAAGCTATGTAATGCTCACATGCTGTTTTGTTAATAACTGAAACATCAACAAGACAGCTTTGGAATGTTTAGTATTTACAAATAAATTTAGACTTTGATATGCCCGGCCATAGATTTTTACCGCCAAGGGGATTTTTCCATACAAATTGAATGTTCAAAAGAAACAAATCTCATAAATTGTGCACAATTTTTGTAGTGCCAGTGTGTGAGTTAGAGAAAATTTTGTGCACTATTTTTAATTTTTAAGGTGGTTTTAAACATATTAAACTGCAAACCTTCATATTTGAATTATTAAACAAGTAATTTTGAGTACTGCAGTAAATATTAATGCCTGTGAATGTGCAAATAAGCAATATTACAACATCAATGCTCAGTGCCTTTTTATGTAGGCAACGGATTAGATATCTGTAACGTCTTAGGCTCCAGCAATCAATAGAATTTGGCAAGATTAGGGAGTATTTAGAAAATGTAACCACAGATCTACAAAATTAGCTCACCAACAAAATTTTCCACAAATTATTGATAAAAATATTTCTTTATTTATTTAAATTTAGCATCATTTTCTTAGATTTCTTTTTGTGTACATATAAATAAAAAAAATTGTTATAAATGTGTTTTTGGATTTGTAAGAGTTATTACATTTTAAATTTTTTAAAATTTTTATTACATAATTTTTTTTAAGTGATAAGAGTATTTTTATCTCTAAGGCTAAACTCCTCAAGTAATTTTCATTCATTATTCATTAGATACACTTATTTTGTGTTATTTTAATTGAAGTTAAGATAATTAATTTTGACTATTTAGAACAGGAATTTTTAAAGTAGTAAAATTGATTGTGTCTATTTGTCATAATATAAATAAGCTTGCGCATTTTGACAGAGTGTGAAACTTAACATTTACATTGGGCAAAGATAATATTCGCAACTTTTGCAGATGTTATCGAGTTGGCATGTCACGACTATAGCAAGAGGTGATTACGGAACTGTCTGTCATGAAAATTTATTTAAATTCACACAAACAACGTCTGGGCGTGACGTCGCTATCGGCGCGGTTCTTATCACTTGGCACGCTCCCGCCGTCTCGCGGCCGCGGCCCGCGGGCCTCACTTGTCCGCTGCCTGCCGCCCGTCGCCAGCATCGACTCATCACAAATTATGTCTCATATTGTACTAATAATCACCCTGTTCTCATTTACCCTTGCAGTTTTGTGATCACTTGGCTTCAAAACTAAGGCACTGGTGAAGACGACCTATGTCTATTGATATGGCGCATGTTTTTAGCCATAATTTTTATACTCATACTTACTATTTGAATTAGTGTTGTCCACGATTTCGTAGTTAGGCAAAATTTCACAGATGAAATGGTTTGCTATTATAAATGTTGACACGCCGCTAGTTTCATTAGTTGGAGACAAATCAGTCGACACTCTATCATGTTTAGCTTCAACTTGTTTTTACACTGTCACTCATTTTAGCAATTTTGTTACGTTCAAGTTTAGAATATTAAAACAAAACAATCACAGGGCAAAACATGGAGATTACAACACCCGTAAAGCGTTTTGACAATAATTTAACTATCATTCACTAATAAATAAAAATATGGTTTTAATGTAATAACACTATAAAAATAAATAATTTATAAAACAAAGATAACATATAAATTCCACTATCGCGTATTTTGTAATAGAGTCGAAGAGAACTCTTTTATTCATATTGGCAGGAAGACGCCTGCCATCGAGCGAGTCTTGTTGTTCAATGACGCGGACGCCGCGGTGTTCGCAGCCGCGTAGCGGGGAGAACGGGCGGGCGACGGTGCACCGGCTGCCCCGACTGCCCCGATGTCGCCGCACACAGGGCGCGCCGTGTATCGTCGGGTGCGCGCACACACCGACAATCTGTCTACTTGCATTTGTGTGTTCAATCCGACCGACAAGACCGACGCGACGCGACGGCACGGTTGCGGCACGGTCCGCGGCGTCGCTGGTGTGAGTTCGCTCTGTCTCAGCTGTAGAGGTGCACGTGTACACACAAGCGGCACACACGTAAAGGTAGCTCGATTCTGCCACCGTCTCGTTTATGTATGCGCACCTATAATTGTAATAGTAAGCGATGACGCGTTTTGTCGGCTCGTGAGACGAGACGGTTGGCATTGCTCAATGATTGAGCTGTACTCGAGTCGAGTTGTACGTAACGCCCAATAACATAACATAAAAAATTAACAGTTTCAGACTATCATTACGGTGACACTTTAGTTAAATTAGTTCTTTCTAATATAATATTTATAATTGTACCCAAATTTCAAGATTTTTCTTAGTCGCAAGGATTATTAAATAATATTTTTAATAATATTTAGAGAACTATAAAATCACTCGTGTTAAGAATATGAATATTTATGTACAGTTTAAAATAAAGTTAGACAACTGACAGTATTATTAAGATTTTATTATTTAATAGGATAATTTAACACCTTTCAATTTTCGAGCTTAAGCATTATTTTTCCAATTCAAGTCAACACGATATGTAATTATTTTGTATGTATTTAGAAATCTTTTAACGATAAACTTTCTGATACTCAACACATAAAAATGAGAATGTCCGATTTTTTTTATGTTTTCATTTCAACTTTAATTCGTTGCATCTTGACATTCTGAATTGTGACATTTTCCGGTACCTCTGCGACAGGCGGCGGCACCTCTGTTTTCTGTGTGATAATATTTGCCAATGCTGCGACTCTACTACATAGTATCTAACTTTCCTTGTGACCTTTAGCTGTATATAGATTGTATTTAAAGGACAGACCTACGCTCCGTCGTCAACCATCATGCTCTATATCTACTAGAGCCTTTTGGCCCCATTGGCTATCTTGAAATAAACATTTTCTACCATATGTCCTAGATGTAGAAAGTGTTTTATAATAATTATAAAGGTCTTGTAAAATGTTTACGTAATCATTTTACTATGAATTTTAGTGTAAATTTATACTAAGATTACGCTAAAAGCCCTTAGTGACTATTTGCGTACTTTGAGTTCGGCAATAAAAAAATATGGTTGTATGAACAGTTAATATTAATGTGAGTCGACTTACGGGGTTGGCGGCGGCAGCGGTGTTCCGGCGACGCAGGTGCGGGCGCGCCAGCGCACCCGCGGCGCACAAGAGCACTGCACCGCCCGCGCATGCGCCCGCCCACCACCACACTGTAACCGAATTCGACACTCCAAAACAATTCCACTCTCAAAACGTAATTTTTCATTTCAAAACAATAATCATAATTCTTTAAAAAACACTCGCCCAGCACATACACCAAAAATTGTTATAGAAAGTTCATTTCTTGAAGGAGACGTTTCGTCGTTATCAACAAATTTCTCTGGATTTGAACTGGCACGACAAAGGTTCACGCTGTATCAAACCGAAGTGAAAAGTCAATGGAAATTGCTAAAATTCATGTCGTCTTCGTAAGAGTTTATGTGTATGTGTGTAAATAAAATAATCAATACGTACAACATGAGTGATAAGTTATCAGATATGTTTTGATATTGCATTAAGGATGTCTAACAATGAGCATTTGTCTACTCAAGCCTGATAAACAAGAATATAGATAAAGAATAATATAAAGATACCAAGTAAAGACTTTTACAATAAAGACACCCTATAATTTTGTGGATCCCACGAAAATAAGGAAAATGATTACTCTAAAACACAACCACCAGAGAAAAAAATGAACAGACGAATTGTATACCTCCTCCTTTTTCGAAGTGCGTTAAAAAGAACCACAGCTGTTCGGCTGCACGGTTCTCGAGAGCTACACGTAGACACGTAGCCATAGTACGAAGAGCGGTTGTTCCGCCGACTCGGGCATAGCGACGCAACGAGCGGTCGTACACAAGGTGCCGAATACAATTTTGCTATTATCATTTTTCCCACTCGAGCACCTCTGAACTGAATTATTCAGTCGTAAGTTGCAGAATAAAGAATTTGAAAACATAATGAACTTAGCTTATAGTCTATTCACCTTCAATTGTATTTTTATTTAGATGAAATGAATGCTTCATGTAAAGCAAGGCAAGGAAAATATCAATACTACACGTGCCCGAGTCATTCAACTTTAGCGATCTTTTGAATATTTGAAGAGGGAGCAAGGCAAATAGTAAACTGACTGTAAATAGGTACGCGAATAGAAGGTCACGCATATTATATCTCTGAAACCGATGCGTGGCATATTCGTTTAAACTAATTTCGTTTAAAAGAGTACGAAAATGATTATTTATCTCTTGGTCAAATATTTATTATTATGTAATAGGAGTAAACAGTGGGATAATGATTTCACGTATTACTTAATATATGAATTCTTTATACTTAAATCTCTCTAGCATCATGAATAACGCTTCGACGGAGTCGTACATTATATATCAAATTTTACATTTTGGTTCCCAACGACTGTGCGAATAAAATTTATGTATGTCACCTGAATTTATTATGCGTTCATAGACGACTTTTCGCATAACATTGCATTTATTTGTAAGTATTTTGTTGTAGGAAGCGCGAGGCTCAGCTAGGCGAGTGTTGCGAGTGGCGCGAGTGGGGCGGCCGCGTGACAGATGTGAGCCGAACGAAGTCCGACGGTCGAAGGTTGCGGCGATCTCTGGGGCCAAAACAAACGGCATGTGGTCGCGCGTACTCGACAAAAATTCGACATCGTTCGCACAAGAATGCACAGTGCGTCTAAAATTAGAGGTTGGAGGAGCGCGGGGGCGGCGAGGGCGGCGGGGGCGGCAGCGGCGTCTGGTGTCGGTCTGCCGGGCCTGCCACCGATCACCGAAATAGCTTCTCCAGCTGGCGATACCTGGCCACGTGGCGCAGACTCACCACTCATTGCTCACTTCTTCCTTATCTTCTATTAACCAAAATATTAATTGAATGTCGGGGTTAATACATATTTTCTTCTACTTTATTGTATATGGTATTTCTTTTTACAAAAGCAACACTGCAGACATGTGCTTTTTAAATAAGATATAATAGCTGAATATTACAAATTCAAGACATAGTACACCTGTGTTATACGTTTTTGCATGTAATGATTGCAAGACATATTTAACGATAACGCGTAAGTGTACGTAAGCAAAGTATATAAGCAAAACCTATTGTCAGCCCTACCCAATCCATTAATCCTACGTTGTGTATCCAGAACTTTGGAATTTTGGATCCACTGTTAGCCGGGTTTTAACCACGCCAGGCGCATAAACAAAAATCCGAAGTCTCTTCCTGGAGAAATTCTTGGTCGTAATACGAAGTTTAAAGATTTTCGATTTTTTTTAAATCCTTTATTAAATGACATAAGCAATAACTGAGTTCGTGAGCTAAATATTTAGCAGTGTTGTTTGTTATAAGTAAGTGAGGATTAAAGGGCAGTGCTTGATACGATATTATAGTAACTGCGCCCATCCCTTTATCGAATGATGTGGGGTAGGGTGGTAGAATAGGGCGACAGGAGGGACGCTGCGACGTCTGTCTAGACGGAGTGTAATTAGGAAGGTGAGCGCGTAGGCAGCGACTCGGTGTGCGGTGTGCGGCGTGCGGCCAGCCGCGGCACTTGCGTCATATTCTAATTAATAGTATAACAGGTAAATTGTCCCCGTCGCGGTACCCGTGTAAGTTCTCTTGGAACGCATTACACCGAGAAGGAAACAAGTCACTCAGGCCAGTTGTATGATATATTAATAAGTATTTTACAGCGGTCATAGTCATGAGGAGAACAGAGGAATTGGATGTTACACTGTTCTTCTTGTGATGTTTTTTTTTCTTGGTAAATAGTAAGGAATTGCTACGAGAATTCAGATCATAAATTTACACGGACAACTTTCTAAAAAAATTAGGAATTTTTTGCTGACTGATAATCCTTCCAACTTGTAGGTTGCCCTCCTGATAATGCTAAATACAGCCATAAGATCTTTGTGGCACTTTCTAATCGAAGGAACACTGTTGACGTTTAGGTAGCACACACACAGCACAGTATGTCTAATTAATGTTACTAATATGGCGGTTAAGTAAAGGATATAGAAAGTCGTAGGACACTATTTAAAATTCGCTTTAATTATTTCGAAAAGCGTCTATAAATTTATGTGCTTATGGTATTTCTTTCATAAGGTTATTGATGTGATGATCTATAATACATATATTGTTATTCTTCACCAAAACAACATTATGAAACTAAATAATGTTGACATTATTTTTCTCTGTGTTATTTTTAGAACTATTTTAGTGTACACGTGTTGGAATTACCTATAGTAACAGTTATGACACACGCGTAATTGTCGGACGAAACGGCACATCTCGTCAAGGACTGGCTGGTCTTCCGTCCGGTTTAAGTATAGTCTGTGGATGTTGTTGTTAATATTAGGGTTGTTTGTCAACGTCGCGTGGTGCCGATGCGCGCCGCCGGGTGGTGTTCTATTATCTATAAATAAATAGTATGGCTAGCTGTGGTTAGCGTTAGTGTGCACAAACTGTATACTAACTATAGCTGATAATTTGACTTGAATGCGAATTGACAATATGGCTGCTCTTTATTTAATTTAGTTAAATTACGCGTTATAAAGATAGACACATTGTATTGTTTTTCGTTTTTTTTTTGTGAATTAAGTGATATAATTCCATAGTTATTTTAAATTCTGTAGTGTGTATAAATAGGCTAAAAAGCTTTCAAATAATTCATATTTATAGATACAAACCTTAAATTAAGTATTGCCAATTTTTTCATGACTTTAAAGAAATGTGTACCAATAAAAACATGTAATATGTTGAAATTTGTGAGTGTCACGCACAGACACTAAACTTGCGTCTCATCGTCCTCTATTCAACAGAGGATATCCGTTCAGTGAGATGAAAAAGGGTCATCGATGACCTCTACAAGTTTATACCTCGTGGCAAAATATGTGCTCCTAGTATTCTTTATTGTTGTGATAATATTGGGCGATGTGTTAAAACAGTTTTTTTTAAGTAGAGTTAAAGCATATGTTATGATAAATCATGAGGGTAAATGGTATAGTGTTATTTTTACTAGAGTGGAATGTCAAACATTCTATTAAAGTACGAGTAGGTAAGACCGTTGCAGGAGATGGGATGCTCCCATAATAGGGGGCGCGTGTCTGTAAGAATAACCGCGGTTATTTCTATCGGCTGCGTTCGCTCAACATACATCCTTTGCGTAAAACAACATTGTTGTGAACTCGAGTGTACCACATATGCGGCACGACAAATATTTACTAATATCATATTATTTGATAAGTACACTAATATTTTTGTCATGGGAATGAAACACTAATGGTAAATTGTGGAATTTAATATATTTTAGCCATATTTGAATAAGAAACTTTAAGCACGATTAAAATAAACTTCTTTGACAACTTGACAAACAACATTTCAATGCGTTTCAACGATTTTTTTTAAAGAAATTGTTCGTGGATTTTCCACTGTTCTATGTTTCTGCGCAGCCTATGAAATATTAGGAATGAACTATATCATAAACCGTTCACATTTTACCGCAAATGATATAATTTGAATAAATTAAAGATCTAACTCTAGGTTCGTATTTTAAGGCATGGAATACCAGTACACGCCTAAATTAAAGCAAAGAATGTTTAATATAGCCAACGCTTAATTATAAACACTGAATAGGCATAAAAAAATATTTAGTCTTTCGCGGAGACGTAAATGGTCAAAGTCATTCATATTCAACGCTCAAACAAGTATTGCTGTTGGCCTATCTAATAGGTAAAGTTTTTTGCATTCCGCGTGGTATTGCGCGGTACGGCGCGGCGGGCGCGGAGTGGCGGTCGGGTCGGCACGCAGTAAGAATGTCACGGCTGGACCTCGACCGTTTTGGCGCAAAGACATGTGTCCGACTCGTTCGACTGGAGCGTGTGAGGTGCTGCACAAGAAGAGACTTTCACCTTGCGTTACTTGCTCCACTACTCGACTATATTTTCCTGTCATTTTTGCGCGCTCGCGCGCGAGGGCGCAAGAGCGGTCTCAATTGTTTTCGTCGTGTTTCGCGGGTTATTTCGGGCGCGTGCGGCGGCGCGTGCTCCGGCGCAGCGGTGCGAGCCGTGCGCGCACGTCGCACTGTCGCTCTCCGCAAGCGTTACCATCATCGCCACACTACACTACACTAGAATATACAACTCATTGGATATACCGA